TTTGATATAAGGTTTCCAAGAAAGATCAGAAGTAAGAGTTAATCCTAGAAGATGAAGGGTAGGAGACTCATCGAGTACATTACCGTTCATAAATATAGGAAGGTCTAAATTATTGCGATAACGATTGGCCGAAAAAAATCGAGTTTTATCTGAATTAAAGTTCACCAGCCACTGCGAGCCCTATGCTGTAGCAGAAGTGAGATCCTTTTGCTTGCTATAATATATATATAATATAAAGATATAATTCTTTTAATAGTTAAACTATAATTGCCCCTTGGCTGTTCAAATTTGTAATAAATAAAACCTTTTTAGTTTCAATTTTACTTTAGGGATCGTCCATATATTATGTAATGCGAAATTAAACTTATAGACATATCTCAAAAACTGTGTTTCTCTCATGGTCAACTATATGTTGCATGTTCAAGAACTAGAGCATTTAATAGTTTGTTTTTCAAAATTGATGAACATCCTATTCAAGGTATGGTAAGTGAAAAGTGTTACACAAATAATGTTATATTTTCTAATGTTCTTTATTTATAGTCTTTAGATTTTCATTTTGAAAAATTTATTGTTATAGGTTGTGAGCACATTTTGCATGTATAACTTTATTTATTATTTTTTTTATTTATTATTATATTTTTTGATAAATATATCTGTCATTTAATATTGTTATAAAATGTGTTTATATGTGTTATATAAAGTCATATTTGTTTATAGTTGTATATATGTTTAAATTATGTTGTTTCCATGTTTTCAAAGTGATGTGACTTGGTATTATGTCGAGCAAGTTGCCAAACTTGCCAGCCAAGCAGTGTACTTATAGCAGAGGTGTGACTAGGCAGCATTTAGTGCCAGGCGGTGCTACTGCTTTAGAGCTAGGTTGTGTTGTCTATCCTTTTTTAATTATTCTGGAAACACATAATAATGTCTGTTAATGTTTAGCGTAATGTGTATGAGAGAGTATGCAACCTTAATCTTTAAATCTAGGGTGCTTTGTCCTAAATTTGAAATAATTGAATAATTAATATTGAATATAAAAACAAATATACTTTATTAAAGTAAAAAGATAAATATAGTTAACTCTAAATTGGTTTTTTAATTTCGCCTTACATATTTTAATTTAGTTTGTTATTTTCATTGGATTTTATTGTTATGTGTTATTGTTGTAAAGTTATTGTGATGTTTTTTGTTGATAGACAGATTGGCTTACCTTCCCGTTGTTGTCTATTGTTAAAAATGATAATTTTTAACAATAGAACAATTATGATATTATAATTCCATTACATTTTTATTTTAGATTTACGTTATGACGCATTTATAAGACTTATAAGAAAAAAACCTGATTTCCTTTTATTGTAAATTTTTGTTAGTTAAAAAGATATAAATATATGCAATTAGTTAAAAAAATTTTATTTTATCTATTTTATGCCAAATAATTTGTTGTATGTATCTTAGAGGATAAACAGGGGGTCGTAACTAAAAACCTTTAAAAACATGGAGAATATTTTAGTTTTGCCCATTTTTCAAATATCAAGTTACTTAAGTTTTATTTACGCGTTTAACTAACTACTTAGCTTAGTCTGAGGAATACTTTTGAGGAAAGAAAGAAAATATTTCTATATATGTAAATCATTGTTTTACATTTTATTATTTTGGTAAAATGTCTTCATCAAAAACTTGATTACTCATGATAAAAAAAAATTCTACTCACCTGGCCACCATTAAAGTAAAAAGAGGGGAGGAACCTTTTTATTAGTGTCAAAATATTTAGGAAAATTAAATTTTGAGTAACAAAAGAAATTTTTAGTAAATGGTAGCAAATTATCGTTTACTAAAAAATAATGAAATAAAGAGGCCAAAAAAATGATATAGAATTGGTCTGTGTTGAGCAGATTTAACAAGACCCGGGTCCGGTCAGCTTGGTTTTACAAATGTTAATATCTACTTATCTGTTACAATTTTTTAATACAATTTATTTTAGGTTCGTCATATGATACATTAATCAAAGTTTTCATATTTTTTTAAATTTGTTATACACATGTTTTATTTTAAATTTAATTTTTTTTGTTTGAAACGTATTTGTACTCAATTGCTTAGTTATTTATAATAAACTTAGTTATTTTTAATAAATTTAATTAGTTGTGCGCATTTAAGGTTTTTAAGTTAACAATTTTCTTTTCTAAAGAAAAATTAATCAAGGGAATACCAAAAAATTGATAACCCCTGTATAATATAAGTTAACTTCACCTTAATCTTAAAAATTAATTTCAAAAAAGTTCATGTTATAAAAATTATTACAAGGATTTAGTTGATACTTTCGTCAATTTAAAGCATTGAGGTGTTAATATTTTGAGTCAGTAACTAAAAACCTATTGTGTTGAACTTAGGAATGTTGAGGAAAATGGTTCTGCCTCACAGTGATGATCTATGTCAGTTGTAAATTACTCAAATAATGTTAAGTTGTAATTGTAAATGTTAAATAATAGTTGGTAAATTATTTTACCTCCTCATACTTTTTATGTTAATTTTACAGATGGATTAATTTTTTAATTAAAATTTGAAGGCGTTTTTCTAAAGGGGTATTAGTTAAAGTTTTGCAACATTAAATTGTGAAAAACAGCCACTATAAATTAGTTATGTAACAGACCGACCATAACCCCTATTACTAGTTGCTTTTTGCTAGTACTTTATTAAACAAAATAACAAATTATAATGTTTAAATAAACCCATTTTATTTAAATTATCAAAGAATATTATATGTAACTACATTTATATAAATAAGTATTTTTTTATATCTTTTCTGGATTAATTTTAAAAATAATAGTGAACATTTTTAGGGCAAAAACAATTGTTATGTAACAACTCAAATTTAATAGTGTAATAAAAAGTATTGGTTTCTATAATAATTATTAAACTATTAAAATAAACCAGTCAGCAAAATTCAAAGGATTTCAGGTCAGCACAAGTGTGCCGACTATAACCAATGTGAGGTCGGCAAAAAAAAAAATTAAAAAAAATGGATTTTTTGCTTTCTGTACGATAGGGGTAATGATTAATTGATTATAAGGGATTGTTTTATAATAGCATAGCTTCAGACAATAATATTTTAAAGAATGTAGCTAATTAAATTTTATGTAGTAAATTAAGTATATAGCAAATTTATGAATAAGTGATTTTTTAGTTTTGAAGTTGTTTTATTTTACAAAAAAAATGGTCATAGTTTATTTATTACATTTTAATTGGTTTTTTAGATTGCTCATAGAAAGAACGTCATTTAGAAATACAAGTTTAGTTTATGTGCTGAAGGGGAAGATTTTGTTTAAAACGACAAATTGTTTAACAAAATGAGTAGACAGTTAACATCCGGTTGTTTAACTTCTACAAGAAATTAGCATTTATTTTTCCATTAGTAGGGGTGATTTTCAATATTTAATTGTAGTATAGTATGAACTTGTAACTATATGTAAATTGATGGAAGGAAAACAAAAGTTAAAAATACTAAAAATATTTTTTTTTTCTTATATATAAACATTGTTTTGAGTTTGCTTACTGTATTACTGTTGCGATTTAATGGAAGCCTAATCTTAAATCAAATTAAAAAAAAGTTTTTGTAACTAATGTTTCTTCTCCGCATGTTTCTAACATAACTATAACAAGGCTAAACTTTCCTAATATACTTTCTGATCTTAAATAATTCTAAAAAAACCGTAAACATGTAAATTATTAATTTAGTTTAATGGTTTTAAGTAAAAAAATAAATTAAAATTAGATTTTACACCTTAATAAAATAATAATTGCGCTTAAAAAGCGTGAGAACATCAGGCATTTAAAAAGTAATATTTTTAAACTTTGCTATGCTTTAATAAATTAGAGAAAAAAAGAAAAAACAAATAAAAAAAAAATTAATGAATATTTGTATTAATAAAACATGTCAAACTTGAAAAGCAAGTAATTATTATTTAACGAATATTAGATTTTTTTTTACATGTATTTCAATTTGCATGCCGACACTTTAGAATATTCAGGTCGGCATACAACCATTGCGTGTGGTCCTAAAGCTAAGATAGGTCGACTTTTGCACCAGCATTGCCGAATGCCAACCTGAATTTTGCTGACTGATAACCATTGCGTTAAAATTTTTATAAAACAAAACTTAAAAGGGGTTATAAAAGCTAAAATGCTTGTTTGAAATTTATAAAATCTATCATACAAAAAATACAATAAATACTACAAATTTAAATAAATAACTAATTACAAATTTTATTATGAATGATAAAAGCTGGGCTACTTAATTCAAAAAAAATGTAATGCTTCGGCATCTTTTAAAAAATGAATTAACTCAAAAAAATGATGTATGTGCCAGACAATGTCCAATGTCCAGCAAATTGATTAGTTGAGTCTTGAATACTTAAAAAATTTTTAAAAGTTAACTTTTTGGTGGAGGCATATTTTTTGCATGATCAACACTTACTATTCAAAAATATGCACACTATTAGGATTTGATTTTTTTATTAAACTATATCTTGTATATATATATATATATATATATATATATATATATATATATATATATATATATATATATATATATATATATATATATATATATATACACACACACACAAGAACTACAAAGTTTTTACAGGCTGAAATACATTTACATGTTCATTTTTTACTTTTTTGTTTTTATAGTTGATTCCATGATAACATCAACTTGATTATAAGTAATGCAAAATATAAAATGCAATAATTAAACATGAATACAATGAATAACAAAATTTAAATTTAACAGCAAATATTGTTTATATATATGTATGTATGTATGTATATATATATATATATATATATATATATATATATATATATATATATATATATATATATATATATATATATATATATATATATATATATATATATACATATTGAAAGTATTTCTGCAATAGTTATAATTAATCAGTTAAAATTAAAAAAAAGCAAACAATAAAAGCAATGAATACCTTTTAAAATTGCTTTCTAAATTATATTATTAAAAACTAAAAGTAAAAAGACTAAAAATTACTACAATTAGGTGTAAATTAAATATCTTAGAATTTTGTTAAACTTTTATATCAAACACATTATCTAACATAAATTTGTCTAAAATAACTATTGTTTACTTTATTATTTTTGAAATTAAATATCTTTATAAATTCTATAGTGATATAAAGAAAAAGTTAAAATTAATAAATTATATAGTCATTTTTTATTTTAGTACACTTGAATAAAAAAATGGAAACAAAATAAAAATATCTTTAGTTTTCGTTTCACATTTAAGTATGCTTTTAGAAGTCTTTAAACAAAAACATGGCCGATTATTTGTTCGCTTCGCATTTTGTTTTGATACAAAATCATGCATAAGTTAACTCCATTAACCAAGCGCTAAAACCGAAAGTTAGACGCTTAAGCTATCGTCATATTTCGTTCGTTTTTAAAGAAATATTTAAGCTATTTAAATTTTGTTGAACTTAATACTTTAATTAAGACTACCCTTTGAGTATACATAAATTTTGCGATTTACATTATTTTGCTTTATTTTAGATTATTGCATGAAATTGCGTAAAAATTGAAAAAGTTATCAACAACAAAAAGTATAACGAGTAAAGCATAATAGTTTATGAGTAATACTCAAAAACGTATGATTGTCATGAATGACGTTTACTTCCATAAACATTTTTGTTTAAATTGATTTTTTGTTTATTAAATTTAATCAGCAACCGCTTTTGATTAATAAATCAGAGCGCAAAATAAATAAATTAATTGAAAAAAACATGCAAATAACTGAAGAGTCATAAAGTCTGATATTCAAAACACAGCGTAAAGTTGTATTTTTAATATTACTGTTGATGCGAAGTTCTCAACTTTCAAATGCACGTTTCCGATAAAGGTACATATATTGGAAACATCCTTTTTTAAGCATCAACGGTCAGGGCCTATTACAGCGGAGGCTATAGCCACAGACCTACCACAAAAATTAGGCCCACTGAAAAAAAGACAAAAACCTATATAATCGGCCCATTACTAGAATAAAATATCGACAAATAAAAAGACGCATCTTAAAAAACGTCAAAAAGGCAAAAACACTAAACTATCAACAACCGGATTTTTTAACTTGTGGCCTTACAGACTGTTTAACTATCAAACATCTGGACGCTGTAAAAAATATTTATCTATGGGATGTTTAACTATCGGAAACCTAGACACTGCAACAATAAATTTTATCTCATAAAATTTATAAACAGTCGATTGTTCGCTTTTTGTATTATCAATACAGTGCCGTGGCTATTGGGTCTGCCCCCTCCCGCCAAAAAAAAAAACAAAAACTAGTCATCAGTGCCCCAAATTTTTTTTTTTAAAAAAAAGTAGATAAAATTTACAGATTACCCCAAAACAGCTGGGTACCTGACATATTTTTACGTTGCCATTCATAAGACTAAAAAGAATTAAATTAACGTTTAAATTCAATTAAATATATTTTATAATTGTTAAATTGATATAAGTTACTAGAGTATATAGAGTATATGCTAAAGTATATAGAGATATAGGTACCTAGAGTTTACTAGTGAAGATTTTCTTTAACTACTGTAAATGTATTACGCAGATAATACAAGTACGTCGCAAACCATCAAAAAAAGGGTTCGCGACGTGTTTTCATGCTTGCAAACTCATTTATTATGCCTTCACAGCATATTTTCCTTGCAATCTTGCTTAAACCTTGAAATATAGCGACATGTATTTATGTATAATGAAACAAGATCACTTATACTAACTTATGAAAAGTTTTAATTAATTTTTGTTTGCTGATGCTAGGTTCTGCACTTACAACAGTAACTGGTAAAGAAAGAATGATTCGTAAAACAATGTTTAGATTGGAATAAGTTTCTTGCAGCTCTTCTTTGTAGATGTAGTTTAGGAAGTAATGTGCAGATTTTAGGAGAGTATTTTTTTCCTCCTTTATAATTATGACAAATTGTTTTAACTCCACTTTCACCAAGTTTCATTTAAAAAGTTTTGCAACATACAGACAAAGAATTTTCATTACAGGCTTTGATAAAACTCTCAGATCGGTAAAGAAAGTCATAAAGCTTTGTGATAATGCTGATCTGTTCAAAACGCTCTTTTACTCATGCCATTGACATATCAATTAGTGTCAAAAAGAAATCTGCTTTATACTGATGTTCAAGTTGCCAAGTGTGATCAACACACTAGTATAAATAAATCGATTTTTTTTTGGGAACCAAAAACCTTTTCAATGCCCAATACTTCAACGATTTCTATTGCCTTACTACGTGCGTCGGAAAATCCATTTTCGCAATTCTCATAAAGAAATACATTTGTTGCTTTTATTTCACTAGCTAATATGTCAATAGAGGTTTCAGAAGACTGAAGAAGCTTACTTGATTTGTTGATTTGAAATAAAACGTCATACTAAATAATGGTTGATACTAAGAAAGGTCATATTCTAATATATTCCGTCAGCAATCGTACTTCTGTGGCTATTGCCCCATCTCTCTTTTCTGAAGCATGTTCTTCCAATCTTTCAAGTGCCTCTAAGATTTCTTTTAAATAATAGCGAAGTGGTTTAACACAGTTTACTCTACTTTCCCATCTGGTATCTGATTGTGATTTGACAGAAATTGTCACTCACGATTTTAAAATTTCCCATCGAGGAGGAGACGATGAAAAGAGTGTATATAACCTTGAAAGAACACCAAAAAAAGAAAATGCACTGATGGATGACAGTGCACCATCAACAATAACAAAATTGAATGAATGGAGAAAGAATATATAAGGCCTATATATTCTTTATAAGTACAATCTGACCAACAATCTAAAATAATAGAATCATTTTTTGCCTTTTTTACCCAAGAAAGGTTTTTGGATTCAGTCTCGTTGGCTAAAAGTCTAATCAACTCGTTCTGTGTGTCATTGCAAAAATAGTGCTCCGTGGTTTCTTTATCCTGAATTCTTTGTTTAAGCTCATTGAAAAAGGTATCGTACTTAGCCAGTAATTCAGTAATTGCTCTATAAACCAATGACCCACGGAATGCAAAATTTCTTGCAGAAAGAAATAAGGTAATGTCCAGTATCCTTTCTAAGACAGCCTTCCAAAATACCTACTCTTTATTAAGCAACTTTTGTTGTTGCTTGTCTATGGTAGCTTAATTTGCAATGCCTGCATTACTGAAATTCAGAATAAAAAATTAATTAAGAAAAAAAAGTAACAAAGCAATAAATTTAGAAATATCAGTTAACCTTTTCGTAAAATCATCCAGTGTTCAAAGCACTTGAAATGTACACTGCATGTTTTGTGTTCTTTAATTTTTATTATACACCCTTTCTAAGTGTCCCTTGTTGGAATGGTGATAAAGTTATCCCAAAAAGTTTGCAGCAAAAGCAAAACATTTTATTGCTATTTAAAGAATATATGAACCATGTTCACAGATTTTGCGTTTTATGATAAAGTTCAGACCTTGGTAAACAAGTGTTAAACAATTTTTTTATTAATAGTAACAGTAACAATACATATTTAAATATTTTTATTATAAAAATATACAAAATTTTAGTTTAAATTTTCAAAAATTGAAACAAAATTTTTGAAAATTTAAAAAATGCTGCCATCCCCCCCCTTCCTAATTGGAGGGTGTGGGGGAGCTTAGTCACGGCTCTCTATTTAAATAATGTATTTTTTTTATTAAAATAAAATTAATAATCATGAAAAAATATAAAAACGGATGAGAGAAAGCAAACATATATAAATTAAGAACAAGAACTTCAAGACTAACCAGTTTTAGTAGAAGTCTAGCAGAAAACGTTAAAGTGGAAATGGAATGTGATAAAATTGCAGATGTAGATGCAAAGTTTCCTGATAATGTAGGAATGTGTAAAATTGATGGTTTTTTGCGCAATTATCTCTGTTTCAAAGGAGTTGCTAGTTGTCAACATATGGAAAGTGATTTTAGCACATCAGAAGGTAAATTTCCAGGTAATACGTTTAAACGATGTTATTAAAAATCTTTTTGTTTTCATTAAACGGTGAAAAAGTTAAGCGTGACTAGTTTTGCTTTTCTCCCTAAACTGGTAAGATATTCTGTGCTAATTGTAAACTATTCGCAAAAGTTAAAAAAAGCCATTGTTAGCAATATTGGTTAAAATAATTGGAAGAATGCAGTCAGGGATTAAAAGAAGCAGTCGTGGAAAAAATGAATTAAAGGAAGCAGCCGTAGCGCAGTGGTTGCGCATTTGCCTCAGAAGCAAATGATTTGTGGTTTAAACCCCACCTCTGGGCAAGTTTTGCAACATTGGTTAGGAAGGAGGCGTGAACTTCCAATTAAATGCTTATCCGCGGTGCTCTGTGATAAGACCGTAAGGACTTCTTGGGATATTTTTTTAATTGTTTACTAGTGAAACAATTAAAAAAAAGTCGCCATGAAGTCAATACTTTGCATAAAAGTATAATTGAAAAAGTTAATTATATAAAAACTACAAGAAAACGAATACATAAAAGCATTGTAGAACAGTACGTGTCTGAAAGGAACTATTGGCGTTAACTTCTCAAACAAATTTCAAGTATAATTAAACTATTATCGGCAAGAAGTATTGCTTTTCGTGAAAATAACGAGATTATTGGATCTGTAAACGATGGAAATTATTTAGGATGTTTAGAGTTACTGCGGAGCACCTTCATTTCTTTCAGTACACATTCAACAACGTGCTAACAAAGGTAGAGGCCACATATTATATTTGTCATCAGGAATTTGTGAGGAATTTTTTTTAAATTATAAGTGATCAGGTTATACAATAAATAAAAGATGCAAAATACTATTTTGTCTCAGTAGACTCAACGCAGAATATTTTTCATTCTGACCAGTTAACATTAATAATTCGATGTGTAATAGCAAGCAAAACAGTTCAACGTTTTATAAAATTAATTCCAATAAATGAGCATACTAGTGAGAGCTTGGCAAAAACTTGCATTTTTAGAAGAGAATGAGATTAGCATTAAAAACTGTAGAGGACAATCCTATGACATCAAATAAGAGTGTATATTGTAAAAAATTTTTACAACTTTTCA